TTATTTTGGTGTTTGGGAGGGCTCTTCTGGTGATTTTTGGCCAGTTGGGCTAGCATTTGAATATGAGGGGCCCCTAGCATGTATGATCTTGAATAAGAAACTTGAATTTTGAACCTCGTATTCTAAGAATGGGTATAATATTATAAGATTTAAATTTTAGGAGGAAACACGTGTTTTGTAAAGTTTAAGACTCAGACATGTACTGGTTTCTATCGCAGAGCCTGTGTTTCATTTATTTGACTAAAAGTTTTTAAACCATGAGCATCACATTAAAAATACAAATACTGGGCTGGAGAGATAATACAGTGGGTAAGGCGCCTGCCTTGCATATGGTGGACCCAGGTTCAATTCTCAGCATCCCATACAGTTCATCAAGCACTGCCAGGAGTAGTTCCTGAGTGCAGAGCCAGGAGTAACCCCTGAGTATAGCCTGGTATAGACCCCAAAAGATCCCTCCGTCCCCCGCCCCCAGTGCTTAGGATATTCAATACTGAGTTCAGTCCCAACCCCTCCCTCTCCTACATTCCAACACAGACACATTGTCAGATGACTTCCAGCTCTGCTGGACAGAGCTTCATTACCAGGCCAAGCACCAAACAACAACTTCCGCAGGTTGAGCACCAATGGAATTGGCCTCAGGACCCGAGCTCCACTTGGGTGTGGCCCAAAACAAAATAGGAACTATATTCCCACTTGCAAAATACGTATTCTATATTTCAGTGCTATCTCCCTGACCCTGTCCTGAGTATTTAATTTCTTTTGAGGGGTCCCATATCTGACTATGCTCAGGTCAGTGCTTACTCCTGCCTCTGCACTCAGGAATCACACCTGGTGGGTTGGGAGGACCACATGGGGTGCCGGGATCTAACCTGCATTAGATGCATTTAAGGCAAGGCAATCCCTTTCCCCACTACCCTATCTCTCTGGTTTTGTACTAAGGGTCTTGCGCGCGCCCCCCCCCCCCCCCCCAGCCTACCCCGCAAACCACAGTTTTTAGGCCACATGTGGCAGTGCTCAAGGCTTACTCCTGGTTCTGCATTCCGGGATCACTCCTGGAGTGCTTGGGGGACCGTGGGATTCCAGGGATCAAACCTGGAGTTTTGAATTCAGCTGCAAGCAAGGCAAGCACTCTATTTGCTGTGTTACTGCTCCAGTCCTGAGAATATGCTCTTTGAATAATGAAGGATGAAGGTCCTTTGTAAGTAGAGTACATAAGGAAGCATGTACTCCTTGCTTCTCTAGGAAATGTTTTCCTTTCTAAGTCTTTTTATATACTTCACACATGGAGATTGTGTGAAATAAAGTGTTGACTCTTATTTGGAGTCATTAGACCTATTTATAATTCCTATCTCTTATCATTTCCAGATTGACACATCTGGCTTTGGAGCTTGCACATTTAGTTGTGCTCATATTGGGGGCAGGGAGAGATTATTGCACATCAGATAGTGGTGCTTGCATATTTGACTTTTCAGTACTTACCAAGGTTTACACTCCTTCCATTGCATTGCTTGCTTATTTTTTTTTTATGTTTTGGTTTCAATTATACAATGATCAAATACCCATTCCTCCACCAGTGCCCATTTCCCACCACCACGGATCCCAGTATCCTTCCCACCCCCCATCCCACCCTGCCTCTGTGGCAGAGCATTCCCTTTTGTTCTCTCTCTCTTATTGGGTGTTGTGGTTTGCAAAAGAGGCAATGGGTGACAATCATGTTTGGTCTATAGTCTACTTTATGCTTGCTTATTTTTAATTTGTTACTTTATTGTTTTTGAACTACACCCAGTGTGCCATTCCTGGTAGTTTTGGGGGAACCAAGCAATGCTGGGGATTGAACCCAGGCATCCCACATGTAAAGTATGAAGTCAGACCTTTTGAGTTTGGGACCAAAGAATGAACAAATATGAGGACTTTCCTTATTTAATTATTTATTTTGTTTTGTAGTGCCAGTTCAAATAAGAACCTCGAACATGTGGTATAAAGGGTCTACCATTGAGCTGTATGCCCAGCCTGGGTCATTTTTTTTATTCACTTTGTAAATACTTAGAGGATCAGGATGTGGGCATAAAACAGTCTAGTCAGTATCGATACGTAGTTAGTGCTTATGAATTCATCCTGGCCTGGTTTACTTCACTTTCTTTTGTTAGGAGGCTGAAATTGAGACTCGAATTGCTGAGCTGCGGAAGGAAGGTTTCTGGTCTCTGAAGAGGCTGCCTAAAGTGCCAGAGCCTCCCCGCCCCAAGGGCCACTGGGACTATCTGTGTGAGGAGATGCAGTGGCTCTCCGCTGACTTTGCTCAGGAGCGCCGTTGGAAACGGGGTGTGGCCCGTAAGGTAAGTCCTTCACTTCCCTTAAGTCTGCCTTCTGGTTTTTGGGTTTGCTTTTCCCCTTCATGGGTGAGTTGGTTAGAAGGTATAAGGTTGCTATACTATTGGCCATAGTCTTGAGAGGCAAGTTCTGGCTTTCTATGTTTTGCTTTTTAGGTTTTATTTTTTTTTTGGCTTTCTATGTTTTTTGACTGTGATTATTTTCTTTGCTTTGGGCTTAGGGGAGTCACAGGGTTCTGACCTTGTGTTTTCGTGCTGATTCCTCATTTCTACAGGTGGTGCGCATGGTGATTCGACACCATGAGGAACAACGACAGAAAGAAGAACGGGCTCGGAGGGAGGAGCAGGCCAAGCTGCGTCGAATTGCTTCTACCATGGCTAAGGATGTTAGGCAGTTCTGGAGCAATGTGGAGAAGGTAGGAAGCAGGGACTGGAAGTGGAGATACTTGGAATTTGGTTGGCGAATAATATGATAAAATGAATGATTAAAATTTATCTGTAGGAGAGAATGTTGTAGCTTTAACAATTCTAATATTTAACAGCTTTAATTTTTGTTATGAGTTAGACCTTTCAAGCAATATTGTGAAGAAGAAATAAATACAGTGGAAAATTATGGACATTGCCTTTGGGAATTGTGTATTACACTGCTTGGCAGCTGCCTGACCCCACAATCTTCTATCTCTTGCTAGGGATTTAACATACTTTTTCCTTATTTGTTTTTGGTTTTGGGCCACACCTGGAGGTGCTCAAGGTTTGTTCTTGGCTCTACATTTAGGGATCCTCCTGGTGGTGCTTGAAGTTCCCTTTGTGGTACTGGGGATCAAACATGGGTCATCTGTGTGGAAGGCAAATGTCCCGCCTACTGTTCCGTTTCTCTAGGCCTGGCATACATTTTTCTAAAACCTGTCTCTAAGCCACTTACTTGCTTAAATGTTCCCAGATTTTCTATTAACTTGAAATTGTTTCTCAGACTTCTGTCTATGTTTTCTTCTTTTTATTTGATTTTTCTGCCTATATTTTATCTCCTACTAGATTGTCTTTCTCTTTTCCACTTTGAATATTTTTCTTTAGTACATATATTGCCATTTACTGTATGCACATAAAATACATTTTCTGCTTCTAGAAACTACTTAGTCTTTAAATTAAGACTGAGATTCAGAGGGTGCAGAGATCACTCAGTGGATTAGAGCATATGATTTGTATGCAAAGGCCCAGGTTTGATTCCTGGCACCTCATGGTCGTGCTGCCAGATGTAGTTCACAATCAAAAAAACAACCCTCCACCCTGCATTAAAAAGATTCAGATTCAAGTGTATTGCTTGTATACAAATTTTCCTCTACTGGATGCTCACTAGTTCTCTCACATGGGTTCCCGTTTGAATTATGTCAGAAGAACCTTTAATATTAAGTTCTTTCTCCAGAAAGACCAGCTTAGGGCCTTTCTCTTCTAAATGAGAGGTAAATAAGTACATGAATAAACACTATTTCGGTTTCTTGCTTGTGGCAGGTGGTGCAATTTAAGCAACAGTCACGGCTTGAAGAAAAGCGCAAAAAAGCTCTGGATCTGCATCTAGACTTCATTGTGGGGCAAACTGAAAAGTACTCAGACCTTCTATCTCAGAGCCTCAACCAGCCTCTAGCCTCCAGCAAAGCTGGGTCTTCTCCTTGCCTTGGCTCTTCCTCAGCTGCCTCTAGCCCTCCACCCCCTGTTTCCCGACTGGATGATGAAGGTGTGTGTCCTCTTTGGCTCTGTTACTCTTCCTCGTGTACCCTTTCCAGAGCTGAAAACCCACCCTGTGGCTTGCAGGGCCCCGTGGACTTTGTGACCTTGTTCTCCTGCTATAGATGGGGACTTCCAGCCCCAGGAGGAGGAGGAAGAAGATGATGAGGAGACGATTGAGGTTGAAGAACAGCAGGAAGGCAATGATGCAGAGACCCAGAGGCGCGAGATTGAGCTACTTCGACATGAGGGAGAACTGCCATTGGAGGAGCTGCTCCGTTCCCTCCCCCCACAGCTTCTGGGAGGGCCTTCCAGTCCCTCAAGGACCCCCTCATCTCATGATAGTGATACTCAAGATGGGCCTGAAGAAACTGGTGAAGAAGATTCCTCTCAGGTGTTGAAGGTATGGGTGGAATGGTGTGGAGGGAAGACTCAGAATAGGAGCAGAGGGGAGAGGTTTAGGGACTGAATTGTGGTCTGTAGTGGTGGATGTAATAATTTGGGGATGGAATTGGAAGAATCAGGGTTTGCGGGAACTCGTAGGCTGAGATGGCAGTTTCTCATGCAACAGTGGATGAACATACAGAACTCTTCAAGTCTCTGTTTGACATTGAAAAATTATTCTGGGACTGGAGAAACAGTATAGTGGGTGAGGTGCTTGCCTATCCCTGGGGTATCCTTTGAGCACCACTGGAAGTGAACAGAGACAGTAAGTCTGAACACAGCTGAGTGTCTGCCAAAAGACAGGAAAGAAAGGAAAAGAAAAAACTTCTTTGGTCTTGACTGCTCTATGAATGATGGTGATAATCCCTTAGGAGTAGTTTTGGAGGTGTGTGGCTAAGATGGTAAGTAAACTTGAAAGTCTCTTTGGCACAGAGTTTCTCTGTTCTCCACGTGTTTGTGGTGGTGGTGGTGGTGGTGTTTTGGGGGGTGTGGTGTTGTGCTCTGTATTAGCCAGCACTTTCACAGGTTCCGTCCTAGATAGTGGACTGGGATTTGGTAGTTGGTGCTAAGAGCAAAACCCTTGATTGAAACCTTGCCTGGGGTTGTGCCAATGGCAGCTGTCACTCAGTGGGACAGAGAGACTGTTCTTTGCTGTCTTACTCTGCAGCATTCTTTTCTTTTGCTGTTGAAACCTTAGGCCCTTTCCCTTCTTATACTTTGTCATGCAGGTTAAAAAAACCCCATCTGTCACCCGGTGCAATAAGCGGCCTTGGCAACCAGATGAAGATGACGAAGAGTTTACTGCCAATGAGGATGAAGGTCAGGCCTATTCTCTTGATTCTGTTGCCCTGTAACCCTTGAGTTATCTGAACAGTTTTACTCTCTTCTTTTTGCTCGGTCTTGTTCCTCTGTCTCTGTTGATTGTCTTCATTCTCTTTGCTAGCGGAGGATGAAGAAGATACTATCGCAGCTGAAGAGCAATTGGAAGGGGAAGTTGATCATGCCATGGAACTGAGCGAGTTGGCGCGAGAAGGTGACATTTACTAGATATTTTATTGAGTACATCTGCTAAGTATCTTTTCTGTGTAGAACGCCAGGGATAAAAAGATGAATAAGGTATTTATTGAGGGAGAATTACCAATTCTGATTGTTGACTCAGTGCCTGGACCTGAAGATTTGATGCTGCTTGGGCCCTGCAGTGCTGAGATACCTGGAAAACTGGTGGTGCTGGGGTCCTCCAGGGTAGCACCCAGTAGTGCTTTGGGGCATCCTGTGCTGGGATTGAACCCAGGTCAAGCACATGTAAGCCATGCTCCCTAACTGCTATACTAGAATAGGATACTTTTTTTTATCACTCCTGAAAGAACTCTAGGTTTAATGATAAATGGATTAATTATAAATAGAATGTGTGAGATGTGATGTGAGACTTCAGTGGAGGAGGAAAAGATGGTTTGTCAGTTTGGTCATGTCCTTTCTAGCAGAATGCAGTCCACTTATAATTAGAGCACACACCTAACCTATGGGACTTGACTTTATTGACTGGTGCTGAGAGTAAACTCTAGGCCTACCTTCAGACCACGACCTGGTAGTGTCTATAGAGAGGAACAAGGTCAAATGAACTGGCATGATTCAGACCTCCTCTTCTGAACAACCAAAAATCTTGCCCATTATTTCTTCTCCAGGTGAACTGTCTATGGAGGAGCTGCTGCAGCAGTATGCCGGAGCTTATACTTCTGATGCCTCTGCCCCAGATTCTGGGAGTAGTGACGATGATGATGACGAGGTTGAGGCTAACAGCTTTGACTGTGAACCAGAGGGGACTATAGAAGCTGAAGAAGCTCCTCAAGAGGATAGTAGCAGTCAGTCAGGTGACTAAGTAGCCGGGGGTGGGGGGGTGCTGGGAGGGGCAGGCACTGGACCAAGTATGGTGAGCATCCAGCTTTTGGTTTTGCTTCAGATTCTGGTGAGGAACCAAGTGAGGATGAAGAAGATGAGCATTCAGAGGATGATGAAACAAGTAGTTCACCATCAGAGGAGTCTGAGTCTGATGAATCTGAGGAGTCGCAGTCACAGAGTTCAGCAGATGAAGATGATGATGATGGTGATGATGATGATGATGACTGTGGGGTCGAGTACTTGCTTGCCCGTGATGAAGAGCAGAGTGAAGCAGATGGGGGAAGTGGTCCTCCTACCCCAGGACCCCCCACTTCTCTAGGCCCTAAGAAAGAAATTACTGACATTGCTGCTGCAGCTGAAAGTCTCCAGCCTAAGGGTTACACCTTGGCAACTACCCAGGTATTTCTCTGTCCCAAGTCCTAGTTCTCATATCTTTCTTGTTTCTAAGTGACACATTTCAGATCCACTATAAAACCTCTCTTTCTGCCAGGTAAAGACGCCTATTCCTCTCCTTTTGCGAGGCCAGCTTCGGGAATACCAACACATTGGGTTGGATTGGCTGGTTACCATGTATGAGAAGAAGCTTAACGGCATTCTTGCTGATGAGATGGGGCTAGGCAAGACGATTCAGACTATCTCCCTGCTTGCCCACTTAGCCTGTGAAAAAGGTAACTAGACCAAGAACTTGCTTTTGGGCTTTCTTGACTACGCCTTGGGAAAGTGTTTTTGAATTTTGAGCAACATCCAGTGGTACTTTGGGGGCCACTATATTGTTGGTTCTGGGGGAACATATGATATTGGGGGTGAAGTTCAGAGCTTCTACCTGCAAAGCAGCTTGTAATCTACCCTTTGAGCTATCTTCTTGGGCCCTGGGTAGCTGTGTAGTGGTATCTTCAGCTGAAAGTGGTAAAACTCTTTGCTGTCTCAGTAGCTTTGTTGATACTGGACCTGTATAGAGGCAGTATAGGATTTGAAGACTAACCATTAGGACACAAGTGGTCAGAGTTATTTCTGAGCCTCCATAACCACAAATATTTTGTTTCCTTTTCATTCTCTTGCTGAACAGGTAACTGGGGTCCTCATTTGATCATTGTCCCCACCAGTGTGATGTTGAACTGGGAGATGGAGCTGAAACGTTGGTGTCCCAGCTTTAAAATCCTCACTTACTATGGAGCTCAGAAGGAGAGGAAACTCAAGCGGCAGGTTTGCTCCTCCAAGTGACTACATTTCAAGCCCCTCTTAATAATGTCCTTTCCGGGTTGGAGTGATAGTACAGCAGGTAGGCCCTTGCCTTGCAGTGGCCGACCTGTGTTCTATTCCCTGCATCTCATCTGGTCCCCCGTGCATGCTAGGAGTAATTCTTGAGCACAGCCAGATGTGGCCCAGAATTTAAAAACGAAAAGAAAGTCCTTTCAGGTGACTTCCTGTTAGCTTCATTCTGTTCTTGTGATTTTTTTTTCTTTCAACCTGCTATTTGTCTCTTGAGGACTTTTGCATATCTCTTCTTGACCCTGTCTTTTCTTTCCACCCTCATTTCTGCTGTTTTCTCTTGATACTCAGGGCTGGACCAAGCCCAATGCCTTCCATGTGTGTATCACATCTTACAAGTTGGTGCTGCAGGACCATCAGGCCTTTCGTCGCAAGAACTGGCGCTATCTTATCCTGGATGAGGCTCAGAACATCAAGAATTTCAAGTCACAACGCTGGCAATCACTGCTCAACTTCAACAGGTAGACACGGAAATGTGGATTATGGAAGATTATGGAAGAATTGACTTAGTTTGGAGGGTGTTTCCTAGAAAGGTTGGGACTTACCTTGACCATTTTTCCTAATTTCCTCTATTTACAGCCAGAGGCGCCTACTCCTAACAGGAACTCCATTGCAGAACAGCCTCATGGAGCTGTGGTCCTTGATGCATTTTTTGATGCCCCATGTCTTCCAGTCTCATCGCGAGTTCAAAGAATGGTTCTCTAACCCCCTAACTGGCATGATTGAAGGCAGCCAAGAGTATAATGAAGGTCTAGTCAAACGCCTCCACAAGGTAGAGCCTGTAACAGTTTTTCAAGTGAATTTGGATTGGAGGAAATAAAAGGGGCTATACCCAAAAAATCTTAGGGAAAGGAACTCAGTGATAGGTTGAATGTGCTGGGTTGTAAGGCTGTTGTATTATTAGTGACCAGCCTGTTGCCAAATCGATGCATCTTAGTCATCATTTCACGTGTTCTTTGAATAGATGAACACATTTCATTTCTGTTTTTTGTTTCCTGGCCATACCTGGCAGTGCTCAGGACTTAATCCAGGGTCCATGTTTCAGAGATCACTCCTGTTGGGGCTCAGGGACCATATGGGGTGCTGAGGATTGAAATCAGGTTGGCAACATGGAAAAGTGCCCTGCCCACTGGCTTCTACTTCTTTATTATGTTTTTCTTTATTTTTTTTTTTTGGTAGATGTACCAAAGTTTCATTATTTTTTATTTATTTATTTTTGCTTTTTTGGGTCACACCCAGCAATGCTCAGGGGTTACTCCTGGCTCTGCACTCAGGAATTACTCCTGGCAGTGCTCAGGGCACCATATGGGATGCTGGAATTCAAACCTGGGTCAGCCGCATGCAAGGCAAACGCCCTACCCGCTGTGCTATCACTCCAGCCCCTTTATTTATTTTTTAATTTTTATTAGTGAAACACCATGAGGTATAATTGTAGACTTACAAATTATTATATTTTTCTGATATGGAGTGTTTTATGAATTTCTCGTCCATGAACAGTGGTCGTACTACTCTTTGCTTTTAGTTTTAGTATAGGTACCAGCAAGAATGATACCGCTGATTATTCTCTACTTTGATTTCTTTTTACCTGGTATCTTGTTTTTTGATCCTTTTGTTTAGCTTATATTTACATTCCCCCCTCAACTCCAAAAGTAATATCCTGCATTCTGATCTTTATTTTTTAAAAAGGTACTTTATTTGGGTTATGGGGCCATACTTCGGGGTGCTCAGGGCTTTGTCTTGGTACTGAGCTTAGGGATCACTCCTGACAGGGCTCAGAGAACCATATGGGATACAAGGGATTAAACCCAGTTGGTCGTGTGTAAGGCAAGCACCTTTACCTGCTGTACTTTCACTCTGGCCCCTATTGCTTTTGTGTATGTGTGTGTTGGGGCCACACCCAGTAGTGTTCAGGGGTCACTGCTGGCTCCACATTCAAGAATTTCTCCAGGTTGTATTTGGAGAACTGTATCAGACGCCAGGGATGGAAACTAGGTTGACCACATTCAAGGCGAGTGCCCTACCTAATGCACTATTCCTCTGGCCTTTTGGCCCCTGTTTATTATTTTTTTGATTTTTAAATAATTGTACATCACACACAGCAGTGCTTGGGAGTCATTCCTCGTGGTGGTGCTTGGAATAAGACCATGTTGTGCTTGGGATCGAACCCAGGCCTCTTACTTGCAAGGCATATACCATAGCTCTGGACCTGATTTATACTTTTTTTGTCTCCCGATTTATGGTTTTTTATTTATTTATTTACTTATTTGCTTTTTGGGTCACACCCGGCAATGCACAGGGGTTACTCCTGGCTCTGCACTCAGGAGTTACTCCTGGCGGTGCTCAGGGGACCATATGGGATGCTGGGGATTGAACCCAGGTCGGCCGCGTGCAAGGCAAACATCCTACCCGCTGTGCTATCTCTCCAGTCCCTGATTTATGTATTTTAGACTTACATAGTTCAGAGCCATGAGAT